ACAGGCAAGGCAACTTAAAAATTTGATTAAACAAATAAATATTAGGTTATCTTAAAGATTATGAATGACTGTGGCTGACATCACTTTATCAATGAATATCAGTTTCAAATTTAGAAGCTGTGACCAACAAGCTCACTGTAAACGGCTTCAACAGTAAACGCTGCCAGATGCATCCAGATGAGATGGAGACCAGGCTATGACCCAGCACCTGAAGACCCATGAATCTACCATGCTGCTGTGAGTGTCTCCTATCAGATAATATGTGGAGTCATGGGTGAAGAATGTTGTCCGCACCTGCTGAGGAGTCAGGAAGCAGAGATTAAACTGACAGTACCTGCTCCCATACACACACACACACACACATGACCAGGCAGTCATGGCACCCAGCTGCAGCTGCCCTCATTCCCAGGGTTTCATCCTCCGCTGCTCTTTCTCATCCATCTACAGTAAACCCTCCTTCACATTTCATTAACATACCAGAGCAGACACAGCCCTCACACTGCAAGTAAAGACTCTGTATGCACTCTGGGGACTATCTCAGTCTGACATATCCGAGTATAAAGCCAACAAATGGCCATCTGAACCGATGCATAAACCACCTCTTGCTCTTATTTATTCATAGCACTAAAAAGCCTGAGAGCAGTCACAGCTTTTCCTCAATAAACAAAAGGATCAACATTCTAAATACTTCCATAATCTAAGGAATAAGAGTTTGAACGAAGGCCACATTTTAGTCAGTACGTAATTCACTCACAGAGAATGTCTTTCAATCAAACAAAAATAGAAAAAAACTTACCCTCACTGAGTGGTGGGAATGATCACATATGTGCATGAAATATTCCATGCAACTTTTATTTTTCTCGACATTAAAACACAATTTCATACATCACAGTTCCTTACATCTGTGGGACTTCTTTATATGAAGAATCTCCCAATTGTCAAAGGACTTCCTGCAACTACTTTACAACATTAACACAATGTTAGGCTATCACTGTTAAGGACGATTTTTAAAGAAACTGCCTAACAATGAGCTTCAACTGACATTAACGCTGCAGATTTTGTTGAAAAGCCAAACACCAAAGCACTACTGTGGGTAAATATTCTATTTCAATGCAAGATTGACACACACTTAGTTTGTGCGCCGGGGTACAATTATGTGTGACCCAGCCATTTGAACTGATCAATATGTTTTTTTAGCCCTTTCACCCACATGTGATTTACTGATGCCTGCCTACAATCTGCACAGAATAAAGAGAAGCAGCTAAATAAAAAGAAAGAGGTGTACTCTTTAAAAGATCTGAATGCAACAGACTGTAATAATCATCCAATACCATGTAAATGAAAATAAATTGCCAGGCAGAAGGTCAGTTCAGTGAGCTGATGCTGAATAATGAGGACTTTTTGGTTCTGTCTGTACAAATTTGTGGTCAATACTAACCTTCCACTTCCAGATTTCAACATTATACTACAGTTGTTTTGCACTAGATAAAAAACTTTTATCATTCTTTCACCAACATGACACTCAGTTGGTACTATAACCGATGAACAGACTCTGTAATGCACCTGTTAATGTACACAGTAAATATGTAAATATTCCTTTATTCATTTACTCAGCTTGAAACCAGGTACACTACTTCTAACTGTTAAAAGATTATGTTACTGCTATAACACTTCTATAATATGTAAGAGACTTACATAAGTAAAAAAAAAACATAAATAAATAAAATCATACAGTTTAAGATATGGAATAACAAAAAATATTACAACATTTTTAGTACTTGATAAAATAGGCCAGCTGTATATGCTACTCAAACATTGATTGTTTTCCTCTACTGAATTCATTCCATAGTTATCAGAGACATTCATATTCCCAGTATGTCGCAGATAGCTATGGAATTCTTTCTCGGTGAGCATGATACTCACCAGGTCAGTGTGAAATAGTTGAAAATATAAATCCACTTAAGAAGTCTGAAATTTCCAAATCTGTCCAAATTGAAAAAGGCTGCCGATAGCCTTGGAGTCTCCCTTATGGCTCGCTTTAAGAATGAAAACACACACTGCTGAACAAACTGTCAGCTAGATGGGTGTGCTAGAAAGGACACAAAGAGGAGTGTCAGGAGTATATCTGCTGTTTCAGCCTCCTCTCCCTACCCCTGAACACACAGTCACTCTACCATACCAGCCCTTACAAAATGGAGCTCTGCCTAGCTTCTCTGAGGAGGAATACAAAGTTATCACTTAGCTGTTCAATCCCAAAGTAGAAGTGGATAACAGATGACAAAAGAAGGGCCAAACCTGCTAAGGAATTCCTGAGCCATCCCACTCACAGCCTACAACAGATGTGTAGTTATCATCTCGTTGTGTTGTCCGGCAAAGTGCTGACCTTGGTCTCTGACTGCAACCAGAGCCGTCAGTCTTACCCCGACTCAACTTTATCAGATCCCATCCCAGCCGGCCAGAGGGAGAGAGGGAGGAGGGATGGAAAGAAAAGCTAAGTGGTGACCGTGACTGCTGCAGGCCCGGTTCAATAATCCACAGACAGACATAGAGATAAGAGCACAGGGCTGGATGAGGGCGGTGTAGGTCGATTCGATGGACAGCCAAGTCATCATTCATATCTGACTCACCTGCTTTCACAGTTCTCGTTCCTGCTGCCAGACATATTTCAATAACAGATTTCAGTGACCAGCAACAAAAGCACTGTCTCAATAAACCATAATCAATCAAACCACAAAGAAAAGCTTTGGAAATACAGAAGCGGTCATGGGTTAACTCATTGGAGCATCACAATGGCACTTACTGGCATTTATCCATTTGACACACACACTGATGCATTAAATACAAGGAGATGGGAGATATATACACACATCATTTGATGGCAAAATCTTTTTTATGGTTTATTAGGAAAAAATAAGTGCAATGCACTTCTAATATTTTTTCTATTTATATTAGAATGTTTAAAAGAATGGAATAGAAACATGTATTTTTGCCTTGAAACTGTCAAGCAAAGATTCAATAGCAATATCTAGTGGCCACATAAAGAAAAGCACTATGTACATCTCTTCCACCCAGCACAAGAACCGGCTGAGCCCAAAGACTTGAGCGAAAGAAAAAATAAAGATTTAGAAAATAGATCAAGTAACTTTTTGCCAATATACAATTTACACAAAACAGATGCAGGCGATATCTAACCCAAGTGATTTTATTTAAATCACTCACAACATGACCTGTTCATCAATTAACTGAGGCAAATAAAATTGGATTGTTTTGTGAAGAATAACAGTGCTGCGGGGTGAGTGCATTCAATAATGCTGGAGAAAGGGAAATAACATTGACCGCTTCAACTGCCCTCACTTACATCAGCCAGAAAACTGGATCAATTGATCTTATTTACACTCGATATTCAATCGATGCAGAAAATTATGTTCAATAGAGAAATGAACAGTGAGATACATTGTTTATGTGCTCATGTCATCCATCTGCTGCTCAACGTGGGCTAATCAAAATGTTAGGTTTTTCTAATGACATATCCTTGTGTTCATGCCTGCCATATTTAGTGGGATGTAGGCAAAACTGCTATGTAGCACTGGCACATATAATCACATGAGCATAAAAAAGCATGGTTACGATTTTGATCTGATCTTCAGTTGACTTCTGTTTCTGATAAAACCTTGGGCTGTTAGCTTTCTGTTGTTCTGTGTATCCTGTGCATCCTTTAACTTTAAGTGTAGTTCAGCTTTCTGTGTATCATTCCTGAAATGGTGGCACTGTAGTTCACACCGTTGCCTCACAGCAAAGTTCTGGATTCAAATCCACCGGTTGCCCCGCTCCTCCTGATCCTCGGTGGGTTTTCCTATTGCCAAAAGACATGCATGCTGTGCTGATTTCTTAGTGACGGAAAGCAAAATGCTCTGGAACGAGCTTTCATCTCGCTGGAACAACGGCTGAGCTGAACCATGCTCAATGGAAGCATTTACAGTGTAGTGTGTTAAGGGGATTAGCATCACACATGTTCGAGAGGCGTATGAAATATAAAAAGTGCCAAAGATTAACCACAGATGATTTTGAACTTTTCATAGATGATCTAAAATAATTTACTTCTTGAAATTAACACCAATAGACCTCATCTGTCTTATGGCAGTAGGTATATAGAGTCAATAAAGGGGTTTAACAGGAAAAGCTGAGACAATGACATGAAAATATAAAGGGAAAAATAGTACAGTGCTCATCAGCTCTGAAGAAATGTATATTATGTTCATTCGGTGTGGATACAACACAGATAGTATGAATACAATCACTTTTATCAAGATTTTATTCACTATTAAGATTTATGAGATTGATTGATTTTTATAGTGTTATTATTTGTGTATCTGTGCCTAGCCGCTGTTTCATATAAGTTGAAAAGTGCATTTCTACTCTTCAACCAGCTGACATACTCTCATGTAAGATCAATAGCATTACACTTTCATGAGTTGGTGGTAAGAGGCCTTCATCACATGTCACCACCTTTGTATTTCTGACCAGTTTTAACCAAACATGCAGTCTTTGGCAGACTATAAAAACGAGCAAGCCACAAAAAATTAGTTTCCTAACATGCTGTCTCCAGGTTGGACAGCAACCGTCTTTCACTGTTCTGCCAGAAAACAAATCACTTCTCATCTCCCCTGTGAGGTGAGATGAGAACAGTGTGGGACTTGCTTCGCTCTGCAGTGGCTCCAGTCGCACTCACAACCTGACAGAATGCGGCACGAAAAACTGTCATCCGAACTGAATCATTTGAAACATAAACAAACACCGTCCCTCCAGCAGATAAGCAGCAGAGCTCGATCCATAAACATGGTTACAACTCTTGTTTTTTTCAAAGGAAAACAAAAATTATTCAAGCAGATCAATTCAGGTCTGAATCAAATTACTACCATCCAAAACATAGTAATGCTGAACCAAAATTTTTTTTTTAACACCCAGGGACAACTTAAATTTCACTATGGCGAAAGGGTTACCTTGTCTCAGTCTGCCTCTCCTCCTTCTCCAAACAGTGAGGCTGCAGCGCGACCCCCTCTGCTTCCCCATCAGCCGCCTCAATCCCCGGGCCAAGGGGCAGACAGCTGCAACAGCAGGTCCCCATCCTGTCTCCCGCATCTCTCCTGCCCCGATTCTGCTCCGACTCCTGCTGCTCCAGCTCTGACTTCTCAAGCCCAACCTGCCCAAGCCCTCTGAAGCGTGAATGACTCATTCTACATAATGTCTATCATCACACATCAGCCCAGCAGCTATTAATGTATTCATTCATTGCAGTTGCCGAGGTTAAATATCGCCGGTCCAAACGAGGAGTGATGGAGAGCTTCCTGTCCATTTCGGCAGCACAAATGTCCACTGTGCCAGACACAAAATCTACTCTTTGTTTTCATTGTCTTTTCAAGTCCTCTGCTTCGACCTCTGAAGGCCCGGTTGGTACAGTACATTAGTTATTGCTAAACGGTCACAAGCCTCATCGTAAGTCAATTCGACAAGACACTGACTATACAGGCTGATTAGAAAAAGCGATCTGACCTCAGGTGAGGGGTTCGAATCGCTTGATTAGTGAGAGGAAAAGAGAGATGCGGAACCACGATTGTGACATGATACAAGAGCACACTGATCGATAAAAGTCATCCAACAGAAGTGAGAGGACATGCTATCTAATCAACAGCTCATTCATTAGTCCTTGGCCAAATAAAAAATTCATTACTTCTACAACTGCTAGTATTTCTTTTTAAATAGAAGGAAAATTTATTTTTGCAGAAAAATGTATAATTCATGGAGTTAAATTCAGGTTTGAATAAAATTACCACCATCCGAAACATAGTAATGTTGAACCAAACCAGTGCTACAGTTCTACATCTTTGTGTGTGTGTGCTAACATGAAGTATGAAGTTCACTTTTACTTTTACATACACAATGAAGCGGAGAATGAACAGGGTGATCTGGATATCATTCAAATTAAAATTGACCATGACGGACAGTCAGGATTCTCCATATTTACACAAAACTGACAGTTATGGATCCAGTTAATAATATATTTACAATCAAATATGAACCTGATATCAAATGAAAAATGAAAAAATAAATCAGTTTGGTACAGCAGAAGTCATTCGGCTGTAACAGAGCCGTGAAAGTGGGTCTAAATACCATAAATAAATAAACAGAAAATAAAATACGTCTGCGACAGAAGTCTGCAAATCCCTGTTCAAGGAGCGGAGGACGGAAAGTTATGTCTATTCAATATAAAAAAGAGCAGGTCAAGACAATTCGACAGCCGTTATCAGTGCAAAATTGTTTCCTTCATATAGGCCATTAAGTACCCACTGTGGCATCTTCATTTTGTGAAATGTCATGTTGAAATATCACCAAGAGAACAAACAAAATGACAGGCCGCATCTTAATAATACCATTGTGAATGAACGTTCAAATCATTATTTTTCCACCAGGCCCAACCACGTCATTTGGATTTCTAACCTTAACAGATACTTTTAGCACTAAACTATTAACCGGGGGACTTTTTGACGCCAGAGTAGTTGGAAAGTGAAACTGGTCGAAAAGAGTGCATGGATGAGAACAAATACGAGGAGATGGGATTGGACAATTTTGTCTCATTCCATAAAAACACACTTATATTTAATATTTGCCAAGTCAAAATGAAGGGGTGACAGCAACCCAACTCCTTGACAAAGCACGTTTCTACAAATCTGGAAGTATGGAAAGAATGTTCACTGATAAGACTTAGAGAATGCCATGACAACAAGCATGAACCGCATGATGTATGCAGTGTTACAAACACAAACTCATAATGAACCTTTTCCATGATTCTGTCATACTGTTGCTGATAGAAATGTTTTTCCTTCTCCAGCCTGCTGTTTGTTACAGAGGAGTTTCATTTCATTGGTATTCTGTGACATGCTTTCAATCTTTTCTCATTACCACCGCAGCAATCAACAAACACTTCCAAGCAGCGTGTCTTCACAACCAAACTCCCTCCTGCAAACGTGAGGTTACCTAGTGAGTCTAACCAATCGCGTCCAATGTAATTTTATCACTTTGTACATGCGGTCACGTTCTGAGTCTGCATGGCAGCATTGATTCATCTGTGACGGGATCTAGAGTTTGCCTTGTCAGTTGAGTTTCTGCTGATTCTTTTGCTCTTAAAAAGAAAAAGAGAAAAAATTGTTGGCTTGTCTTCCTGCTTCGTGCAAACGGAAAGAGAGGCCATGGGGGAAAAGCCCTTTAAAAGTGATGCCTGTCAAGCAAAAACTGTAGAATCTGCTCTCTTTAAGTTGTTTTTATTGCCCGAACGATTCTGCACAAACACAGAGGTTCTGGCTCCCTTTTGAACGCTAAAGGTTGATGCCATTCGTCAAAGGTGCAATTTGACAGTTTAAAATACATTTACCGTATTTTCATTACACAGAATTTAGATGCCATGGTGATTAAATGTAGGCGTAATGTATTCAGTATTGTTCTGTCACATCATAAATATTAAATTAGCTCAAGTTTGAGGGGAAAACTACATTTTCACCTCCAACCTTGGAGGTAGTTCTGCCCCGTCACATTTGGCAATGATGTTTTGGACTCGGCGGTGAGTCTTGAAATTGATGCGTGTGCAGAAAAAGAAAGCTTCATTAAGACAGCCTTAGGGTAACTGGCCTACAGGGATGCCTTCTTTTTCATCCCGTGTTAAAGAGCCTTGCTTCAAAACTCCCAAAACATCTCATGGCTAATTAACTCACTCTGTCCTGGTCAAATCTGTCAGCTATTTAGAAAAAATGCAAGCACAAACTGAATACATAATGAGCTCTGGGACAAAGGGAAGACAAAGAGTCTTAAAATTCTTGGTCAACAATAAATTATTGACAGAACTTTTGCATCGGAAGAGCAGGTGAGTTTAAGACGGAGGCAACAGGAACTTAAAAGTCTTTCTTGTGGAGAGAAAACAGTGTGGGTTTCATTGTGGACATCAAACCCTTCTTGCTGGACTATGCCACATCATTGTGAGCCTATTCAACAATGTGAACTGTCTACTAAACAGGACACCATTGTACCTAAGTGGGGTCGTTTTTTTTCTTCCTCGGGGAGATATAGAATTGCATTTTTCCTATAGTTGGTGAAAGCCAGTAATGTGCTGCTAAATAAAGCTAAATGAGCCTTGTTTTCACTTTCGTGGTCATTTTGCTGAAAAATATATTTTACTTGTTTAATTTAAACTAGTTAGTATCCGATTTTCCCTCTAAACTTTCAGTACTGATGATCGAGGAGGATAAACAAATAGTACCTTCTGCCTGCTTATAGTTTTAAAAATAGGTTTGACTAATAAGTTGTGCTTTATAGAGATAGCATGCACCCTGCATGTACACAGATATCTTATATCTGGAGATTTCCTGCCTGTTTTTACTCCCCTATTTTCTGCCCTATTGCTTATTTTTACTTATCTAAAAAGACCTCCACACACAGAACTGCAGCATAGACCTCTTCCATCTGCAGTATTATCTTCAGGGATTGAAATGGGATCATTTTGGAAAATGATTTTTCAAATTGGGTCACTTCCTTGGAGATCTGCCAGAACGGAGACAGTCAAACACACCATTTTGACCTGCTCCCACATTTAACAACTTACCTCTCCGTTTCCACAGTTCAGCTTATCGGGTTATGTATGCTGCTGCGTTAAGGTATTTAAAATGTGGGCGTCCACCCCTACACTTTGTGAGTTGAGCAAAAACACGGGTAAAGTTTAATCGGTTATGGCCTGCTGACCCACAGAGAGGTGTAAGTAAACGTCAGTTCTGCCAGAGCCACAGTGCCTGCACAATGCTTCCTTTGTACTTCAGCTCAGCTAAATTCCACCATCAACACACCACCAAATCTACTGACCGTTGTCACGGCAGCACCATGTGGACTTCAATGATTAAACGTGTTATTGTGTACCTCCTGGACAACTAGAGAAACAGGGCAGACAACAGATGTACATTGCACAAAAACCTGTTTATAGCTATCTAATCCGGTTCAAGGACCCTCTGCCAAATGCAGTCTAACTTATATTTTATGCACTTTTCTTTTCTAATTGTATAAAAAATTTACATCTTTCAACGCTGATTAGTTGCTTGTTTTAAACTATAGCAATAAAACTTGTAATATTATTGAATGTCTGAATAAGAGCCAACGTCCAAGTGGCCCTGCTCCTTTTCATTTCTTGGAATAATAAAAATGTCATCTTTAAGAGGCACTGCCACCAGGCAGTATATTGCAGTATCATTTGCAATGTGAATGTTGAGAATACAAACAAAAGAATGCCTTGTCCCAAAACCGTTCAAACATTTGTGTAGAGTTGGCTTTTTCTGACCTCGAATCTGTATAACTAAGTATCAAATCAACCTAGACTATGTATCTGGCACTGATTCCAAAAGTCGATTAAAAGCCATGGTAAGCTGGACAAAAAGCAAAAAATCCAGCACTTGATTTTGTCTTTTCTATTAATCCGCCGTTATGTTTGCCAACTAACACAACTAAAAACTATCTACTTTCTCTTTTCAAATCGATCCAAAATGCTAATATTTGTATTTATGCAGAATAAATACGTTATTACAAAATAAATTGTGTTTCAACTTGTTTTTCCACATGTGATTCAAGGGAACAGTCCTGATTTGGTCTTTCCACTGTCTGACTCCATCACATTATCCCAGCAAAACAAAGAGAAAACCAAGAAATGGGAGCAAAACAGGATCCCAATCGAGCCAAATGGGCAACAAGTAGCCGAAGTATTTCAACGCCTTGACATTTAAGATGCTGTATATCACCAAACTTCACACTGGTATTGTTCTCGCTCCGGTCAACGAAAAGTGAGTGACCAGAGAAAACACAAAGACCGCCTTTATTCTGTTCACAATATGTGCCAGTAAGAGAAAAGGGTGTTATATGGAGCCATATGATCGCTTTTAAAGCGCGTTTGAAAGTATCTTTAGTTGCTGGGCGTCTTACACGGTTTTCCACTAATTTCTTTTTGTGGAAACCACTGCAGCAGTTCCAACATTGTGAATTCAACTGGTGTATGCAGGGTACTGTACGCCACAAAGCGAATGCCTCTTACTTATGGCCGTCAACCTCACAAGGGTGGAAGCTTTACGGATGTACAGCTCGACATACAGAATCCTCTGTCGGTAGCAAATGGGGCAAACTAAAAGGGGCATGACAGGACTTAGATACTAAACAAGCAACGTTTGCCGGGAGTGTGGGTGACTGACAGCGATCCAGATAAAGCGCTGATGGCTTAACTTAGCTGGAGTGTCGAATTTTTTTCTAGCAAGAGCTTTTCCGATTGGTTCGAGCGTGATTTCGTAGTGGTTAGCGACCGTCCCATGCACCAGAAGGCAGAAACCCGTAGTATAATGAGACGCAGAAGGTAGTGGAAATACATCAGGCTCGAGCCAAACACGTGTCTTCGCTGTACTGAAGGTGTGCTCACTTATTGGGAATCCCGACAGAAGCCGAGTCATTCCGATGAGGAAGGAAATGAGTGAGAATCTGACACAAAAGAAAAGGAAGAAAAAAAAAAACCCACAGTGATGCAAGTGACTTTGAAAATTCTGCCCTCTCTGCTTCAATAATGCAATCATGTCATACATCTCTGTCACCACGTGGTCACACCCCTCTCCTGCAACCTTTCCAGTCTCTCCCTCTCACTCACTGCCACACACACATGCTCTGAGGCTGCACACCTATCTAATGGGGAGAGTAGAGGTCCTGCATGGAGGGATGTGAGGGGAATTTTAATAGCTTCCTTCCTGTCCTGCAAGGCTATGCCACTTCCTATATGCACAGGGCTGGCAGAGTTAATTGGTTTCACCTATCCAATGGGATCGCTGTCCATCCACATGTTGGGAGCTCGGAGAGAGCCCCTTCTCTGCAATGTTCATTGCACATACAGCTGTTTTTAGATAAACAAGCGTGGCTCCCAAAAAAAAACGCAGACGGGGTGGCTGCCCGTTACCGTGCCCGTCAGACACGAGGGAGGAAAGTCAGGGGGTAGGAAACAATCGGGACTTATACATGAAAAAAAAAAAAAGAATTGCGATTGGCACTCACTTGATGAAGTAGCTGGCTCCTTCTTCCGTGAAGCCCTCTTCCCATCCTCTGGGCAAATCTATAAACACCAACAAGAGCACACTGACTGAGCGACCCCTCCAGAGAGCAGAGAAACCCCCCCAATGCCGCAACAAAGCCCCCCCGGGAATCCTGCAAAGCGGCTCGTCTGTGGCGTACCTGAACGAATCATGTGTCCCGAGTTTACCGGCTCGCCGCTGCGTGGATGTAGCCAACTAGTGCTACGAGTTTTATCACTGCAAGAGAGACACCTGTTACTTAACGGCAATAAAACAACAAAAAAGACAAGAGACACATCCTCGGCCCGCCGACCAACGTCCAGTAAAAGTGGCCGAGAGCATTCCAAGTCGCTCACTTGATGAAGAAGACCCGACCATCTCGACAAACTCCGTACGACCAGTGCTCAGGTAGGGTGTCCCGTCCGAGAGGTGCCGCCATGATCCCTCTTCTCCGGCTCGGCTAGTAGTTACCCCCCCTCCCCACCACCACCAACCTCCCACCAACCCCTCTACTCTCCGCGTTCCGCAGACTTTTTCCAGGGAGCCCAGATAATACCACCGCTAGGGTAGCGTGTTTTTTTTTTTAAAGGGGAAGAATACCAAAGTGAGTGAAAGACCTCCCGCGATAAAAAACATTTTTTAAAACCGCCTCGCGCGTGCAAAAATGCTGCAGGTCGATTCAGCCAAAATGCGGAATTCGAGCTTTTTTATCCGCAGAAAGGCAGAGCCGACTCCTTCTGCGAGAAAAGCCCCTAGCATAGAGAGAACGGGTGAAAGCCCTGGACTTGGACTGGGCTGGATTGGAACACGGCCAAACAAAAGTCTTTGTCGTGTTATCTCAAACAAAAGTTCGGAAAACAGCCTTTGAAAATGTAATAGCTGAATTTATATTGTGCATGCACTAAGTCACCGAACTCATATGAAAGACAATTACATAATTTCTAAAAAAAAAAAAAAAGCACTGAAAGTGTAAGCTTGCATTGGATTGTGGGGCTGGACCCTGACAGTTTTTCCTCCATGTGTTTGGATCAGTGCAGGATTTTCAGGGCAGGTCGACTGTCAACACTCCATTAAAAGGTAGAGACAAATGCAATCTTTTCCCTTTATCCCCTTAGAATATTGGCACACCACAACGTTTAACCATCATAATAAGCAGTCCAGAGGATGCTGTACTGTATACATGGCAAAGTAGCTTTCTTATAGCCATTAAGGAAATCTTTCCTGGATATGAGAGCCATCAGACTTGGCTGTATTCTACCATCCATGAGGTATGACGAGATGAGGAAGAGCTGCAGAAAATTTGTAAAGAGCAAAATTAATAGATACAAAGTAAATCTGACTAGTTACTGTGTTTGTAACAAACACGTTGCAGATTATTTTTTGGAGGACAAAAATTATTGGAAAGAGAGCCAAAGGGGAACTAGAAAAAGAGAAGTTCCTCACGAATAAGCAGTGAGAATGCTGGCCCTCTGAATGACCTGACCAGAGGACGATAAAAAAGCTGAAGGGAAGAAGAAAAAAAGAGGGAAAGGCATTGGATTTCTACTGAGTTATTTGGAAAGGCTGATATGTAATGTATATGCCAACTGAACAGGAATGGTGAAACATGAAAAGAGCAAACGTGACGGGTGAGGATCATTTAAACACAGAGCTTTGTCATGAAAAAGGTCAGAGGTAAAAAGGAATCACCACAACACTGATCTGTAATGTAAAAAAGAGACACAAACAGAAGATTTGAAGGGATCAGAAAACAGCTGGCGGTGTCATTGAATGAAGAGGGCCACGTTCAAAGGATACATTGGATAAAAAAGCATACAAAATTACTGACAACTGTCTAAACCCTAAGCACACCAATGATATGTTCATTAGTTATCACTTAAATGGCACTGAAAGAGAGTTAAAAAATGAGAAAAAAAACTATAAATACACACACACACACACACACACACACACACACACACACTTCTAGTTTGGACTGGAGGTATAAAGTATTGAAATCCCTTCAAGATTTGAAGGCTTGTCCATTCATTTCAATACAGGCAAAAATCCATTAAAAACTTGTCACATTAGAATATTTACTACACTGAATAAGCACAATGGGAGCTATCTAATATTTCAGTATAATTTGGCAATGTACATTTAACTGCAAAATTGTCCAGAACTGCTTCTCAACATAATCTACAATACTTTCTGGGGTAAATGTTATGAAATTATTTTTGTCTGTTCACTCGACCAGTCAGTGCAGAGCAGGTCTCTGAAAAGGAGGTCTTTAAAGAGATGGGTTCAACTAAAGAGGTTTAGCCAAATGTTGAAAGAAGATGCTACAGCAGTGTAACATATATGGAATGTATCTGAGTTATCCAAAGGTCCTTTAAAGGTCTTCATAGTGTGTGTTCTCAAAGGAGACCCCCCCTCGATGTGCGGTGGAGTGTGTGTCCACGCATAAATTGCACTGGACGCTTCAGATTAAGTTTGTCATCCTGTCGTCACCTTCACTACAGCCGCGCATGCAGTTCAGAAAACCTCTCTGACCATGACACATTAAAATAGTGCTTACACTGCATCAAACAGACTTGCCCAATTTAACCGGACTGCTCACAAATTTCTGCTCATGGCAGACGACGCTCAAAGTCACAATAGTGTTGGCAGAGGACCATCAACGGACAAGCTGCAAGGCTTTCATTTTATCATGGCAAAATCTCTTACAGGAAATAAATCGGATCCCACTGATACTATTTTTTTCGCGTAGCATTGTGTGCTTCAACTGGTCAGAGGTGTCCCAATGAACTTGTCGAACAATGAAGAGAGTAAAGAGGTCTTACGTGTCCTGTGGGCTGTAGATTGCAGTGATCTGGAAAACGCTGTACCCCCACTAAGCAGAGATCAGCAAACAAATGTCAGCGTTCTAAATATCTACTCCGTTGTACCACTTTTGGGAGGCTTTGTTGAAATATTCACCAGTGGTTCAAGGCACTTCAACTCTGCTCTTCAAAGAGAGCAGGTTACGAAACCTCGAACTCATATTGGCTGAGCGGAAACCAGCTCACTGTAAACCTTCGTAAATCTTTCCAGCGTCACAGAAAAACCCACGGAATAAAAGGATTTTCTACCCCAGCTCTGCACACAATGATAGCAACAAAACAGCCGCAAAGACAGATCACGTTGGAGAAGAATCCCAAGTGCACAATCCAAAAAGGTCACTGAGGATTTCTTAACTCAACCACACGGTTTTGTCTACACTGCCAGCATATCTAATCCCAGTTAAAAAGTCTTAATGACAGGTGGCTGAACAGTTCTCCACCATTACCGTCATCTCAAGGCTTCCAGACTGCATCGTATATTAATTTAGCAGACCAAATCTGTGAAACCAAATGCATCGATCTCACTAAATGGACGAGCAGTACCACCCAAGTGCATCAGATTGAAAGAAAAAAAAAAAAGCTGCATTTTGGGAAAGCGGGACTCTGATCTTCAGACTGGCCGGCCTGATCTGCATCAGACTTAATGATATCACTTGCACCTTAAACTCGTGGTAATTTGGTGCTAGTGGTTGTGTTCCTCAGCCCGTCCGCATCATGAAGGGCAGACTAGCGGGGGCATGATACATACTGCAGTGTAATCATCTCGTTGCAGCACTCACTTGCTGTTATTTGACCTTGCTGTGATTTATCAGCGTCTCCACTATGTAGACGTCCATTTATACATGCTAATCTACGTCAACAAAAACACACATAGCGGGCTGCACAGTCCAGTGCAATTCTGCAGTGGAGCCTCTGCTGCTGAATCCTGCCTCTTGGCTGCCAGAGGCTCACAATGCAGCAAGGTGACTCAATGTTATTGTCTTCTCCTCAGAGAGCGTCCTCCCGCTGAATCACAGCTCACCGAAGGTGCCGAGCAGAAAATGAAATAAAGATCCTCTTGTTGTGACTTTCTTTCGCTCTTCTGCTTGTTTGGGTCCTAATCTTTTTTGGCAGCAGCCCTCACAGGAAATCAATAGCATCTTTTCTAAGATTATGGTTGTCAATGTGGCAAATAATGTCAGCAATGTATGATAGATCTACTGTAAATGAGTGAATGCAGGTATCTCAGAGAGCCTGAATTCTGAACACTCGCAGCATAGGATTACACTGAGATCGAGGCCCCCTGCTCAGTATGCAGCACATTTAATCATCATATAGTTGCTGATGAAAAAAAAGTGCTGATCGCCCCCCGTCCGCAGGAGCATTCCCTCACTTTTCAATTTGGTTATGATTTCTAGACATTGATTAATTGCCTCCCACTTTATTGAACTATCGCACTGACATCTACAGGGCAGGGATGTTATATTTAGTCATGAGCTCACTTATTCTGCCTTACCATGTTCTGCCAAGGCTCATAGGTATTTATTTATTGTTTTTTATTCAGTTTCTCATAATTCAATGGGTTTCCAGTAAACAAAGGGGACTTTATATGTATTTTTCTCATTAATCAAGCTTTTATTTCGTTATTAAGTACCTTTAAGTGAACGCCTATAGCAGGCACAAGCAGCAACTATGAGAGCAAACAATGGTGACTTTTTAAAAGGCTGTTTTTAACTCAGTTCACATGTGTCCAACAGCTTGTATAATTGACTAGTGGAGCAAACATTAACTTCTCTTCTTTCCTATTTCACAGTCACCTGGTTGGCAATGAATGACTAAACCAACACATCACACTGCCCTCTTCTGGAAAAAACGGAATTCATTTCTGCAAATTTGAAAGGCAGAGTGACAAAAAATGATTTGTAATTTTAGGTCAGCATAAAGTTTTAAGTTTCTAATTATAGCGTTAGTATTTTTTACTCAGATGGAAATGAAAAAACATTTTTAAATATACTTAGTCACATTATATGTTACAATCAACACCAGTTGGATCACTAACCATAGTAAGAATAAAAAAAAAAATTGGCCATCAAACTCTGTAAAACTGCATGAACTGAATTTTTCTGAACAGTAATGGAATTTTCATCTGCATGAGTAGCAATCTACAATGAGTTGTGAGGAGAATCTGATCAACTGTAAGCACTGCAGCATGGTTCAATGTAAGAGCTACCCATGAGGCTGGAAAGCAATATTTGGACCCATTAATCACAGAGCACTGCCTCGAAAGCTGAGAGCAAAAGTCGAGGCAGAGCTGCGGTTTAGCGGATTGTGCACCTTAGAGCTATATCTGCAGGAAACTGAGAGGAGATTTACTTTTTTAAGTTAGAAAATCACCACAAGACCTGGTCGACTCATGCAGAAAAAGACTGATGATGGAAAGGGTAGTTCGATTGGCTGTATATAATTTCAAGTAAAATATTTAAGTGCTTTACTTGAGCATTTAAATTTGCAGTTATCTGCACGGCATTTTGTGGGTTGCGTAATTATCATTCAAAATGCTTTTAAGTGTGTATGTTATTTAACTGACAACGGGCAAGGTAAATGTTCTAAACTAAACATCAAAGTCACAGTGTTAAGGTGAAAATAATACCTTAAGAAATGTTTGCTTCAGATCATTTTAGTACATTTTGCATGCAAGATTGTCTCTGTGCCTGCCCTCATTCGTGTAAGACTTTTAGTCATAGTACTTTTTCAATGTGAGGTTGCACCATTTAAATGACACATTACTAAAATGCAGTTTTAAAGTTGTATTATCAAAGGAGTTTTTAAAATATCGTAGTCATCTGTATTAAAGATCCTAAATGCTTTAGGTATCTGATTATTGTTTTATGTTTTATATCATACTATTGCGCTGTACTGTATGGTACTGTAAAAATACCCAAATTACAATACTCCAATTCTGATGCTTTACCTCTCTGTAATTTTGAAAGGTTGTTGCAGTTTTGTCTTTACACTCTGAAAGCAAAAATACATTTAGAAAAAAAATACAGATGTTGCATACATGAATTGGCTGAAATGAGACTACAGTAAACATGAGCCCGACTTCATTTCCCATCTAGCTGCTCAGAACCAAAGGCCCGCCCACCTGCTCTTTCGTCATGTCGCCACGTACGATTCAGTGCAACGCAGCTTGCTAGTCCGTTTGACAGAGAGCTCAGCCATCCAATCAGGTCAACGCTATCTCTCACACAACCAGCCTTGCTGAGTAGCGAGTTAGCTCCCAACGTAGCTACAGCTGAGTGAGACCGACAGGAGGAAATCAGAGTAGATGGGTTCAAGGATTCACGTAAAAGTGAGTATACAAGCGGCACCCGAGTGATGATCCTTGGTGAACCTTTTAATACAACACTGTGTCATGATGTACCATTTCTATTTAAAGCCTGGCCGCTCAGACGATCAGTAGAAAGTAAGACGAATACCTGGCTTTTTTAGGTCTTGGCACTTATTAGCCCAATTTGTCAGTGGTAGTGCTAAAGCTAATTCAGACAGCTTCCTCTAACTAGAAACCAATGTTGAAGGAGATTAGAGGAAGTGTTTCAACAAGACCAAAGGCGAAAATTGACCGTTTTAGCAGGATATGCCCGCTTGCTGTTGATGCTCCGTATTATGTGAATGTATTACCATAACCAACATAGTTTTAATTGGGTTCTTATCCAGATGTGCTGGAGCCGGGCTTTCCTCACCAGCTGGACTCTGCTGCTGCATTTGCTATGTTCAGAGGCCGTTCCCATCAGCATCGACAAGACAAAAGTCAAAGAGCCAGAGAAAAATCCCGAGGAGCCACCTGCCAGTGTGGTAAGAAGAGTCATCATTTATCCATAAGCTGGAGAAGCCATCAAACACGGCTCAGGTTGTGTTGTGTTAGAGCTGGGGAAGGACAGCCAGTTTCTGTCACATGGGTGTTTTTTTTTTTTAAATAGACATGACACAGATATGTGATAAGCCTTTTCTCAGATGCTAGTGTGTATTTTCGGACATTTTTTCTCCTGCTGCTTGGCTTTTGTGTTAATAAAAGTAGATATTTGATGTCCTGTATATGATATGTTGATTGGAAACAGCCCATTGGCTCTTCTAGGTAAAGAAAAATGTGGAATTGCATCACACTACTATTTGAGATACCTTTAAACAAATACTTCTTCGAAACTTCTGGTACATCAAATCTATCATTGTTGATTCCAGATTGTGTCGATTTTGTGAACGCTCGAGTTCACGTTCGTGTGTTTAAGATTATTTCACCTATATATTGACCTCTGGGGAAAAGTTGGAAAAAAATGGCCACATAGTTTCTGTTTTGTTCTTGGGACAGACGCACCCTTTTATTGAATGGGTTATTCTTACTTACTTCTCAGGTACATTTTCCTTTTAGAATTTCTCTAATTTAGTTAGCATCTAGCAGAATCAATGACGTAACATAGTTTTTGTTTTACTGCTCAGGGGCTTAAGCTCTTTATTTGTTATATTTGCTTTGTAGGACACTGGACTCCACTATGACCGCTACCTCAGAGAAGTCATTGATTTTCTCGAGAAAGATCAGCATTTTAGAGAAAAGCTCCACAACACCGACATGGAGGACATTAAGGTATTCAGCTTTTCTTTGGTTTGGCTTTGTTAAAGTAGGAAAATCAGAAAGAAATGGTGACACCATGCAAATGTACTAAGTTACTTAATAACCCTAACCCTACTGTTTTGTTTTCATTTGTGACACGTTTTTTTTTTTCATTTCTATGACAACGTGTCTTCTTTTTAGAAGTAAATAAAACGTTTGCTTTAATTCTTTATACTATAGCAGGGAAAGCTGGCTAAAGAGTTGGACTTTGTCAGCCATCATGTCCGAACAAAACTAGATGAGTTAAAAAGGCAGGAAGTAAACCGACTTCGGACCCTGATTAAAGCCAAGCAAGACCTGGAAGGAGGGAATGGTACGTTGTGCAGCGCACCTGTTTTATTTAGAGTTTTTTCAATTATTCTTTTTATTGGATAATTTGCTTTCTGAAAATATTTTACAATACTGTTTGTGTTTTATTTTATTCTTGATAAATACCTCTTTAACAGACATAGCCGTGGACCACCAGGCTCTCCTGAAGCAGTTTGAGTACTTGAATCACATGAACCCACATACTTTTGAAGTAGATGACCTGGATCGGCTCATTAAATCGGTAAATTCTGTGAATTCATTCGTTCTCATGGGAAGTTATAGAGGCACGGGCATGGTCTTACCTCGGCAGGGCGCTGCTGTCGGATCAGCACAGCACAGTTTGACCTGCATCCAGCACTACTGTACTCCTGTCTCCATTCATGCAATATTTCCTGTCCCAAGACACAATATTTAACTTCCATGCTTGATATTAGACGCGGTGCTCATTCATTGGGTTTTTTTTCTTAATGAAACAAACTGATTTTAGAAGCAGCCCTCATGTTCTTAAACATATTGCTATGTTGAGCCGCTGCTCATTGAAGGTTGCACCACCACTCTAAGGTCAGCTAAACCTTCTCACAACTCCTTACCAATCATCCAGAGCTTTTGTTTCGCTTCACTTAGCAGCAGACAAATGGCTTTTTCTGCAGGTTTTCTCGGTCTGCTAGATTCTGTCTTCCCGAGTCCCCCTAAATATCCCTGGCTTTATGACACTTGGAACAGATGAAAGTGCCAGCAGAAGGTTCTGCCATATCTTTTTATAGCCCTCCTCTGTTTCATAAGCATGGGCAGGCTTTATAGGCAGATCTTCATTCCTCTGTCTGGAAAAGATTTTCATCGGTCAAATGTGAGGAAACATAAGGTTTTCTAGATTAGAAGATATACGTGCAGTGATTCCTTATTTCAACTGAGCTGTTGTCCCGTAATGAATCAGTTCAGGTCAAACAAGCAATGGCCTGAACAAAAGCTGCCACTTTAAAAGTTTTAGATTTAAGTTATCATTCAAAAACGTGTAATTCATTTTCACCACAGATCAACTGTTTTTTGTTGCGTACATTTTCAGGGGTTATTGTTAAATGTTCTATTATTTGGACAAACGAATGTTACTCAACAAAAAATAATTTGCTATTATCAAGTTTTAAGGAATTAGCAATGTGTTTAATTCCCAAATAAGCAAACTTTTAAATGCATCTACCTGCACCCAGGCCACAAAGGATCTCGAGAACTTCGACAAAGAGAGACACGAGGAGTTCAAGAGGTATGAAATGATGAAGGAACACGACAGGCGGGTCCACCTAAAGAACCTGGATGACGATGAGAGAAAGAAAGAGGAGGAGCACTATGAGGAGATGAGGAAGAAGCATGCCGATCACCCTAAAGTCAACCACCCAGTAAGTTATTTAAGGGCATTTAGGGCACCGAACGTCCCATAGACGTAGTTTAAGAAGTTCTCCCTGTTCAGTTCTTAGTTCCCGTTTAATGACTGAAACATTGCACTGTGTTGATGTTCACACAGACAAATTAAACTATCTACCTAAACACGCTTTTATTATTTGATTTAAAGGGCAGCCAGAATCAACTGAAGGAGGTCTGGGAGGAAGCTGATGGCTTAGACCCAGAAGATTTTGACCCAAAGACCTTTTTCAACCTGCATGGTAACATTTGGACCAACCAGCACCAATTAAAATGGGGATTTTGAGCAGGTCAAATGTGAAAGATTTCTATATCTGTTCCATCTTTTTTTATAACGCAGACACTAATGGAGATGGGTTCTTTGATGAGCAGGAGCTTGAGGCGTTGTTCACCAAGGAGGTAAGGCCGGAGTGTCTGAAAGCGGGTCGTTATTCAGCGAATGGCTCCATACTGACTGCAGGCCTCTGTGATTTCAGCTGGAAAAAATTTACGACCCCACCAACGAGGAGGATGATATGGTGGAGATGGAGGAGGAAAGGCTACGGATGCGAGAACATGTTATGAATGAGGTATAGCCCGTCGAACCTCAAGGTTGCAGCTGTGGTGGTGGACATTTAATTTAAAGGTGTGGGGCGTCTGACCCGCTCCGGTGACCTCGTCAGTAAGAGTTCCATTTGTCGCAGGTGGACACGAACAAAGACAGGCTGGTGTCTTTAGACGAGTTCCTGGTTGCTACGAAGAAAAAAGAATTCCTGGAGCCAGATAGCTGGGAGGTGAGATTCTAAATGTCTCAATGAATTAAATCAAGTGAGTCTAAAACAGAGCTACGAAAACCCACGATGGCTATTTCTGTTCCTTCCAAGACCCTGGAGCAGAACCAGGCCTATACAGACGAGGAGATGAGGGAGTTTGAGGAGCATCTCGCCCAACAAGAGCAGGATCTCAATGAGAGGGCCGTAGACCTTCAGAAACAGAGAGATGAGCTGGAGAGACAGCAGGAGCAGCTTAACGCGCAGAAGGTTGAGCTTCAGCAAGTAAGGAACCACATGATGTTACAGGAAAAGGTCACTGACTTAGCTTTTCCTCTGAGAAATGGCAGAAGCATGGATTCAGACAGCCAGGATTTCACATTTCTATGTCAAAAGGACTAAATCATATCATCTTGAGACTAATCAGAGCTGTCGATTTACAACATTATTTGTAACATATAGTTATTTTCATTTTATTATTTATAAATAATTAAACTTAAAGAAATGTGTCAGTATTTTGTATGTTGCTTTTTTAAAATGCTTTTGGTCTTAGCTTTGATTTTGGATTGTATTATTTTAATTTAATTCTGATTAAAATATTTTTTTAAGTGCCATATTCATTGGGAGGCTAGGAGATTTCTTTTTTACCTGTTGACTTAATGTGTCTTGTACATTTCCTGTTAAACTCAACACAGGCAGTTGAGCACATGGAAAAAATGAAGACTCAGAAAGTAGACGCCCCTCCAGAGGTTCAGGGTGAGTGTTGATCGAACAGTTTTGTGTATTTATTTTTTTGGTCCATGAATTTACTGGCTGAGTGGAGAATTCTAAACCGTTACAGTTGAAGGAAACGCCATCCCAGAGGTGCATGCGGCTGACGACCAGCCGGGCCTCGATCACCAGCCCCCGGCCCAGGCCCAAACACACCAAGACTCTCCCGATCACATTCAAGACTCGCCTCCGGAACATCATGAACAGCTAAACCAAGCCCTTCCCCAGCACGGGCTGCCCCAGCCACATCAGGATACACCACCAGGCCATCAGGAGGTCGCACAGGGCCACCATGACTTGCCATAGAAATGCTGTCTTAAAAGAAGAAAAAAAAAAAAGAAAAAAAAACACAAAATAACAAACAAACTTTTGCTTTACCTAAACTCCTGTGTGCGAAGGAGCAGCCCAATCGGAGTGCAACGACTCGGAAACTAGTATAAGAGTGGACAGAGAGGGACGCATTTGAAATCTCTGCCGTCCCTGATATGTGTCATTACCAGTAATTATCAGATTTGAGAAGAGAATGACTATTTTAAATTCTCCCACCATTCAAATGAAAATGCAAGTAAATATCAGTAATGCTTGATAATCCAGTTAAATTCAAAGTGATTGTAAGGAGCATTTATCTCTGGGAGTGGGTGGTGGAACTTCTAAGAAATAAATATATAACCGGTGAGGTTTCATCCTAAAGAGACTTTTTGGATGCGGGAGTAGTTGCAGGTTTTAAGGTGTAGAAAGTCATATTTAACCCCAGCTTTACACTGATTTTCTGATTGGAGCTATAAGGCCACCCTCAAAACATCTCACAAAAGAAATGTCACAAGAAAACCTGTGGCTGTTTGAGAAGAAAAGTGTAAAGGGCATTTTTAAGATTTTATATAATTGTAATATGAGTTTAAAAATAAGTAAAAGGTACACTAAAGAAGTTTCAGCATACATTATTTTCATGCTACACCCTGAATTATTTCACCTGTGGAAGGGAGAGCAAGGACATGTTGAGATAATGACCCACAATCTGCCAAAAAACATGTCATTTCAATCATTGTTTTGTTGAAGAAATCATATAACAATGCTAATTTCTTGATAGTCAAACGTGTTTAGTCAAACGTCCTCAACGCCTTTTTTTTTTTAAATGTCCGGTGGGATTATGCTCTGTTTTCTCAGCTGTAAAATGTACGCAATGTGCTGCGCCTACCAAACAAAGCACATGGCTCTTCTCAGTTTCACCTGCGGAATCGCGTCCATCTGGAATTGTTCTGCATGAAGATGTGCTCGCTACAGGAGATGACTGATAGATCTGAAAGGAGTACAACTTCATTCCACCGCGAAGGGACTTTTTCAAATGCAGTTACCAATGCACAGATGTGTACGAACGGTGTTTTATTTATGAAATGCTCGAACTTGACGTGGTTTTTAAAGTGTCAATAAAATAGTTTTGAAAGGAAGTTTATTTTCAGATAAATTGTACAGTTACCGGTTATCTTCATTACATATATACATTACTTGGTCTTAATTTGAAAGGCTCCATATTTTTGGCACAGATTGCTGGATTGGTGTGATTTCTGTGTGATTCAAGTGCTATTCAAATGCTTCTGATGTCTTTTTAGCAGACAGGGAAACGGGTGCCTCTGAACTGTTCCTACCTTTTACTGCAGACGGCTCGATATTACCTGAGATGCAGCATCTCTGCACTGTGGTTCAGGAGCTGGATTAACTGTGCCTCTTGTGGCAGACTTTGGTTATTTCATTAGACACATTTCATCTTCTTCCTGCTCCATGTGTCATGGGTTTACGTGGAGAAAAATACAGCAAAATAATTTGCACTTTTATTTTTCTCATTGCTTGCTGCTGGATATGTTTGATAATACCTTACACCTCAGATCGGGATAATAAAACTGTTTACCTTTTGTGTGGTTTTGATAAATCATTGTTGTAATGTGAAGTGTGGACAGCGTTGAAATACAAACACGGGCTCGCCAATTAAATCCTGTGTGTCAAACTAAAAGCTGAAACATGCTGATTTACAGACAAATTGAAAGCTTCAGCTATGACCATTGGAAACATCACAAGAAGTTAATTTGTCTGTCACCATCTCATGAAAAGAAATGGACCAATCCTTTCTCTGTCAGACTGCCTCTGATAGTCAGCAACTGAACTGCTTTAATATGATTTTTTTTCTTTTCTTTTTTTAAATCGTACATTTTCTAAGTATGAAAAAAGCAAAAAAATTCTATCAACACAGGCTTATAGGATACAACTTTATTGAAACAGTCTCAACCAATAACATCAGTGTACAAATGGCCGATGGTGCAAGAGATGGGTGGGTCTATAAAAAAGAATAAAAGAACAAAATGCCTTCAGGAAAATCTTGGGATCCAAAGAAAAAAAGTGGCTGGCGGCACAGGGCAGGAAACCATTCTCGTGGAATCAGATCGACAGTGGCAGGGTATTTTTTGCATTTATTTTGTACAAAAAATAAATTAATGAAATCTTTCAAGTTTACAGGAATATCTATTTGTAGTTTTACATCACACAGACTTGCTGAGAATCCTACATGTGATGATCTTCAGCATTTTGTGTTAAAACATTTAGAGGATCTAGATAGACCAAAGCAGGCTGACTCTGATAAGTAGGCCAGGAGTTTAAAAAAATAATTGGATTACCAATAAGAAACAAAACGTTGTTATAAAAGTGAGCTTGGGGCTAACACATTCAAAGATCCTGAATGTTCAACGTGGCGCAATTTGACGGTCCGGGAGATCCTTTAGGATCGCATTGTTTGAGTGTTTCCGCGAGACAGACCTCGAGGTCCTTGGGCGGGCCCCCGCTTGTAGCCTGGCTGATATCCCTCCTTTCGGGAATGAAAAAGTATTTACAAAGATGAATTTACTTATTAAACTGGAAATGTTTAGTCAGTGCAAATGATAAGTGGACATTCCATCTTACCCGCTGGTAGCTATTGTTGGAATAGTCCCGAGATGTGCTGAATTGGTTTTGGCCATAACCACTGCTGGGGGGGGGCGTTTGTGAAAGGAGGTCGATAGCCATCATATCCCCCTGGAGGCAATTCAGAGAAAACAGCTCAGCTGTTTTTTTTGGTCACATAATTACAAGCATCTGTGGTACACTTTGATGCCTGTACCTCTAAATCCATTTGAGGAGCCCCGATAGCCGTTCATCATGCCCCGGGTGTTCCTGGGTCCCCCTCTGGGAGCAGCAGTCCTGCAGTTGTAAAAGGACTGGCCAGACTGTCCAAACCCAGCAGCTGCAGGGGAGTCTTCATGACCCCCCGCCGAGGGCATGACTTGATCTTGGGGCTGGAAGCCACCAACAACTGAAAGAGGAGAGCCACAGTATTTCAACCGAACGGTCAACAACAGCTCGCATAATTCCTTACTCTTTAATGAGAATTTCTTTAAGGAGCCTGTATTTGAAATGTCCTCTCACCTGACTGTAATCTCTCCTGTGAGATGATGTCGGGCTGCTCTACAGAGCCCTCCGACTGGCTGCTGAAGCCCTGCCCGTAGCCAGCAGGGAACGGGCTGGTCTGCTTAAGCGGGTCCACTTGACCATCAGTGGGGGGAGGTACAGGTGCATTCATATTAAATACCTATAACAGAAAACTTGATCTTACAAATCTGTAAAAGTCCTTTGAAGCAGGAAAAAATCCTTCATGTAAGCGATCTTTTGCTGTAAAATATTAAATAGCCTTAAATATTTTATTTAGTTGACTGAGCCTTATCAAGCCTCAGCATGTCCATCATCGTAACAAAATCTTTGATGTCCAAACATGTTGACAGACAGCGCAGCTACAGTGGACCCCGGGCGTACCGCTTGCACTGACTGGAAAGGTGCTGCGTTGACATTGATGCCCCCCGTGTGGGGGGGTTTGGAGACAGGTGGGAAGGCAGCAGACAAGGAACACGGGGCAGGAGATTGTTCGGATGACAGAGACAGAGAAGCCTGGAGAGGTTGGACGGAGGGAATTTGGAAGGTAAAGAAACAATGAAGGTCAGAAGGTGAGACAGAATCTTGGATCATCCACCTAAAAGCTTCCTTCTAAATCAAAGGAATCCCTGCTGTTTACAATTCACACCGTGAGACGTCAGAGAGGTTCTACACAGTTACATAATGTACTGCAGAACTCTGGAAATATCTTTACGAATCTCCTCTTGAAGGCAGCTAGTAAGGACCTTGTTTTGCTTACTTGTGAGGATTCTTGGGGTCCAGAAAGTGTAGCTGTAGGAGGCAGCCTGGACTCTGAGTGGACTGAGGGGAAAGAGAATAAGAAATTAAACTTCTACAAAAAGACACATTGCCAACTGATTTATTACAAATCAGAATCGCAAGTTCATATTAGAAAACAGTTAGCAAACACAACCACATAATGTCTGTGGGCTTGCCAGTCTGTTTAAAGTTAAATCACTCACTTGAGGGACCGCCCATCTGCTGCAGGTCAACGGTCTGCACGGGCTTCATGGGCTGAGCAGACACAATGGCCGGATCCAGAGCCTGGCCGTCAAACTCTATCATGGAGTCCTGCCAGAAAATGTAGTGATAGGTCAAGAATCTGGTTTTAGGGACACCGCAGGAACCATTAAAGGTGGGTCACTTAAGTTTCTCTTGTCTGCAAGTTATTTCTACAAAATATATTAAGCATATGGTTCTTTATTATCTAATATCACTTATTTAATTATCTTCACTGGGGGTTCTCTGGGTTTTGTCAGTCTTCGGTAGTGAGCCATCTCAATAAATTGTGAGGAGCTCTATATTAATTTTACACCAGAGGTGAAGCATTTTTACAAAACTCTGATTCTGCCCATCCACATACTTACTTATTCATTCTATTCTCAACTTTGCCCCACTTAACATACAGTCTTTTTCAGGCCCATTTAATTATTCAAGCTTTGGTTTTTCAGCCTGTTGCATGACTCACAATCATCAGACGCTGGAGTAAACCTAGAGCCTTCTCACCTGCATGAAGTTGTACGTCCCTTGCATCTGGGCCATGAGGTCTTGCACCGCCTGTTTTCGGACCACTGGGTCATTGGCCGGACAGGGAGCGACTTGGTTCGCAGCACCGGTTGAATCTGGCACCACTTGGGCAGGGGGCTGGTGCTGGAGGGTATTCACCATCTATTCCAACAGACGTGGGACACAAAACTGAGAAACATCCCGAGAGAGACGGAGGGCTGATGATCCAGCAGCGGAGCGTACCTGGGCCTCCACAGTCCAGTCCTCCACTTGGTCTTTTTCTGTACTACTGTATGTAGTTTCTGGAATGAACTGTCTGTTAACAAACTAAGAATATAATACAAACATTTACCCTTAGATCAATCAAAGGAAAACAAACAAAAAGAGTGTATTGTGTGAATTTTCTTCACAAATATATTCAAAGCATTTTCACCTCGGTGGTTTCCACATTAACAGGCTCTGTGTAGGTTTCACTGGGAAGTCCTTCTGGGACAAAGAAACAAATGTGAGTGTTGGTTTCTCTCATGGTCTAAAATATCAGAAAACGTGCCGTTGGTTACCAGGTTCCGACGGCTGCTCCCCAGTCACTACCGCCTCAGCCACCGCAGGCTGCTCCTCCCGCGTCTCCTCCTCCTCACATGCTCCGTTCTGATGGCTTTGTGCTTTGTCAAAGTAACCACTCATCAGCACTTTGTCCAGAGTGTCCTTCAGTGACTTGTCTGGAAAAGAGACAGTAACAGCCAATGTATTCTTTTGAATGACATCATTTACTTTCTGTCAGATCAATTAAAAACCTTAAAATATTTATTGGTATAATCCTTTTGTGAGTGATCTGAAAACACTTACATGTGGTTCTAGCCACAGCCTTTTCTCGGCCCTCCAGCAGGTCCCACAGGTGAAGAGAGGCTTCTTCATATTGGTCAGTCAACCTGCAAATGACATCAAAATGATATACAAAATTTAGCAAAATGAAATTTGCCTTCTATACCAATATTCTCATCGGCCAAGTAGGAAAAAAGCCCACAAACCAATTTAATCAGATGTGATCATTCATTTAAAATGCTGGTTTGTGCCTCCGTACCTGACTTCATAGTTCCTGTCAGGTCCCACCAATTTGTAAAGTTCATCGAGAGATGTAAGGTCAGCATCAGTGAGCAGACAAGAGCCAGATGCATCAGGTCGTTTGAGGTCCTGCCTGACACCCTCATCTCCCAGTTGGTCCAGTAAATACTGAAGCTCCAGGACGGTCTTCAGCCGCCGTTGCTCCATCTCCTCCCGCTGCAGCTGCTCTCGACGCGCAGACTTCTTCACCGCCTTCTGAACCTAAGCAAATGCACAGAAACATTTAAACTAAATTGGAATTCACAAAGTTTAACCGAGATCTCCCCACCCGACAGGCATTTGCAAAACGTTTAAATAGTGGAGTTAGTGATGAGGTAACAGTTCTGTTGTGTGCTGTAGCAAATGGTGGCTACTATAAGCAATATATCAATAGAACCATTTCTATAAACGAGAGGCGGAAGATGAGTAGAGGCTTTAACAAGCCAATAATTTTAGAGCTGCTACAAAATAATACTGAAGAGCCCTTTAGTTCTGCCAAAAGCATTAGACAGATTTTTACCAAGTTCTCATAAACTCACAGGTCCTGTTCTTACACACCTCTTGGCCCATCGCTATGAAGTTCTTCTGCAGTTCTCGAGCGAAATCGAGGTTGTTGTTGATCTCTTGATATTTTGTCAGGGCTTCCTACGGGAACAACAGGGGGACCATATTTGGTTAGACTTTTTTATTATAAAGAAAGAGAAATAAGAGGAAAGATTTTTACAATGATTAATATAAAGTTTATTTAGAAACAAATGGGAAAATGACCGCTTGTCATCCTGTTATTACTTGCTAAACGTTGCATTTTTTTTTAAAACAACATCATCCCCATAAAACAACGGTGTATTCAAAATTCTATTATTTCTGATGATTTCATGCAATCCCAAAATAAATACAGCTGACTTAACTTACCAGCTGATCTTGATTCAGTCTTTCTCCCTTGTTCTTCTTGGCCTGATAGTCATCCAGTTTCGACTGTTGAGAAGCAGGAAATTTTAAATGTGTCAGAAAATTAATAAAACTGCGCTAACATTTTTTAAATTTTGATTGTGGATCTGTACGATGATTTAAATATAGTGACAACAGCTAAATATTCTCAAAACAATAATAGAAAGTACTGTATGACCAAGAATTGTCTACTTCTGTTTAAAGTGTTCATTAAGCGGACAATAACATTGTATGATAAAGGTTTTAAAAGGTTTTTTTCAATTGTCTATAGAAATAAAGTTTTCCAAAGAGTTAAAATACAATTTGAAACCAATAATGTGGTTAGGCATTAAAACTGATGACATGCTAAACACTGGAAGAAGACATTTAATAAACGAATTTTGAGAGATGAGATACTGACCAAAATCTTTAATTTAAGTAAAGCTAGATATAACTATCATCATTCACTAAGGGCACAGTGTTTAGCAACCAAAAAAAGACATGATATTTTACACAAGATACATGTATACACAAAATATAATTATTTCAGAACAGAAGAATACCTTTTTCTTTTCCATATTGCGGACTTTCTTGTCAATGACTCCAAGAATCTGTTTCATTGCCTCAGAATTACTTCCATTTCCCAGGTCTGGAATGGGGGTCTGGACCGCAGGGTTGCCAACTGTTGCTGAAGGCATCTTATGGGGACATATGCATTAGAAAATTAATATTTGGGATACTGTAGCACCTGAATCTAGAAAGGTTTAGTCTACACTGAGGAAACATTTGGTGGAAACTCAAAACGGGAATTTAGTCCTTCATCGAAGAGTATCCTCTATAACTACAAGACGACAAAACAATGATTGTCATACATAAAGTGTATTATATGGAGTATCTTTTTTCACCTGATTTTCGTATTTCCACATCTGTTGAGGAGCTATGGTGGTCTGTCTTGATATAGTCATGTGAAAAAGAAAGTACACAATCTTTCACTTACAAAGTTTAATGTGTCAGGACAAAAGAAAAATGTTATATTTGCCTTTAACATCTCTTAGGTAATGCAACCTTAAATTAGTAAAACAAACTTGTTATATTGTCTATGTTTTTATCTGACAAAAACTAAGCCAATATGTACATAGTTTGACATAGTGTCAGTCATCCAATTTAGTAAACATAAAAACTGTTGAATGAGTGTTCACAGTGATGGGATTTCTTAAACTTCTAAAGAAAAACAAGTCTGCTTGCTTCAGATGGACATATCTTTGCAAAGTGGACATTCAAACTGGATTTACTTCATGTTATGCATCTTCTTTGTAAAAATAAGTCTAAAAGGGTCACCCTTACAGATTCTACAGGAAATGAGATGGTAAGTGAGAGCTGGGTATGGCTATTCAAATGCTCACATCGACTGATCTGCATTATCTGCAAATGTGACCAACTCTAGGAAAAGTTCACATGCCAATAAGAAGAAACATCAGCTGTTAGCCTGAGTGACCTCCAGTTAAAGACCCTCAACAGAGCTGTGGGGAAACAAATGTCAGCAAACAAAAAATGAATAAAAATTCCTCCATGTATGCAATATGTATGATTAATTAAAATGATTCCAGATAAAGAAGGTTCAACAATGAATGTTTTTGTATTTTGGCTTAGTTTGTGTTAAAACATATACAACGGTAGTGTAACATGTAATTTACTATTAATCTGAGATTTTTTTTTTGCAGATTTTTTTTCCTTTTAATCAGGTCCTGACACATGAAACCTAAGAAAAAGAGGGGATACTTTCTTTATAGGCCCGTGTATGACATCATTATTGTAGATATAAATTTGGATTATAGGGATATACCAATATAAAGTCTAGCCTCAAAATTATACTCGTAAATCTCAACCAAAACAAAAACACACAGGGTTACAGAGAATAGAAACCTCGCCGATGTCTACGTGCCATCGGGCTTCTGGTTGGGCAAAGGAACACATTAAATTGATTGCAGATACATAAAGATTCAATCTGACCGCTAAATTGTTGTCTACACTTATTTACTTCTTTTTATTATTTCAAATAGCCTGTGTCCTGGTCGTAAGTACGTTCAGGAACCTTCAAAATGTATACATTTCATTTCGGCCTGCTCTTCAAAGTTGGAATCTTTCACATTAGCCGCTTTAGGGACGCCAGCTAACGTTGCTAACACACACAAATGATAGGCACCGCACGCTAAATCACGTAAGAACTCAATTACACTTTTAGAGCTCTTATATCAGGATAGACTTTCACATGGGAAGGTTAACGTCGGCTATATTAGTCAAATCAGTTTAATAAGCGCACAGCAGCGTTCCTAATCTCAATGTCCCATTGTTAGCTAATAGCATGTTCTTCAACGGTATGCGGCTAATGCTCCAAGTTCACCGGATGTCAGTTAAAAGTGGCTATTAATTTAACCGAAAAACGGGTGCCATATGTTTGCGTTTTTGAACGAACTGTCTCCCATAGCGTCAGATTTCAACTGTGTAAAACAAAGAAAGTGTCGGGAGGCTGCGACAACTCGTTTTCTTGCAACCGTGCCGAGTGAAGATGACAAAAGGCGTATTAGAAAAATTAACGTTAAATAGACGTTTGACGACAGTGTCAACCGTCCCATACCTTTATACTCTTTGTCTTCAAAGAGATTTTCTTGTGTATAGGATTTCTCGTTTGCTATGCAGCGCCGAGTGCTGTCCGAGTCTTTTACTTTAAGTGGTGCTTTTCTAGAAGGATGCTCAGGATCAAACCGGCCAATGGCTGACTAGCTGTTGCTAAGCTAACAGCAGCAGCTGCACGGATCCCTGCGCCAACCTCTTCTTCTTCTAGAGAAATTGCGGCAGACTAGATACAGCAATGGCACTGTGCTTCCCTCCACAGACCGTTTGTAGAATTAACAGGAACAATTGAATATATCAATCTATCCATCCATTTTCTATACTGCTTTTTCCTTTTGGGCAGTTGCCTATCTAAGATGAAAACGGGTGATAGAGGGGTATGCCCTGGACAGGTCACCAGTCCATCACAGAATAATATAATCAGTTTCTGTATATAACAAAGCTCAAGAGTTATGTTCTTGATTTACATGAAGAAGCAGTAAATGTGAACCTATGACCACTTCAGTTATCTAAATGAAGTCCCAATGTTATGTTGAGAAAATTCTATTGTGAAACAATACACGTTGAAATGAGGTAAACACAATTTCACATTATCAAGAATATGACATTATACAATTTTTTTAATGAAGTTGCACATGCTGTTCCTGCAGTGTCTGTACATATAAGGTTGATCAAAAAATGATGATGAATATAAACTTCAGAACTTCAGAAACTATGCAAACTTTCTGCCCAGCAGATCAGATTTTAGAAATGTTTATGAATCTCTGTTGTGTTTTGGAAGGTAATGTGTTTTTTTTCTCTGCTTCATTGAATTATTTAACCATAACCCAGATTTAGTGTCTGAAAATCATGGTACACCTCATGTTGTACAGTATATTGTACAACCAATTATTTCAGGTCACTGTTTTGTGAATAAAAATCAAGTTCTTATGTGATGTAATTTTGAACCACTTGTTTTAGTTAATCAAGAACATTCTGGGATGCCCATTCCTGGAAATATAGATCGATATAAAGCTCAATTTACCATTCCTAGGATTATTGTTGATTTTTCTCTACTGTTGTGTTAAAAATATCTGTATTCTCATGTCCAGCAAATATCAAATCAGTTAATGAAGTGCTGTTTCTTTTTATCCTTCTAACATTTGTATATGTGCGTGTGTATACTGTATTTCCTGTAGTACCAATGAATGGGCAGCAGATGGTGCATCTGTCCCACATAATTTGAAGGATAATTTATTTAAGTCACACTGAAAGAGCATGATAAACTAAGTCTCAAATTCATTCTAAGTTCAAAACTTTAGAAACTTCAGGTTTCCTTAAGTACAAAACAACATTACTAAACATATGAAGGTATCCACAGCAGCATGAGATTCTTAGGGCTTTGCTCATGTATAATATGTGTCCTAAACACTATAGAGCAGGAATTTAATTTGATCAAATCACTTTGTGCTTCAGTCATGTATCAACATTGATATCAACTTAAAATCAGGGTCATCTTGGTTTACATGTTCATGTCACTCTATTCCATTTTTACCACACAAAAGAAAATTCAGACATCTTCTTTTAAGAAAGAAGAAAACATTGATGTCTACATTTGATTTCACATTTTATCATGTTCCAAATATATGCATTTACTTTTTTCCATCTTTTAAAAAAAAAGATTTAGACCCTGCTTTTCACCTACTTTCATACCTCTACTCTGAATCCAGAGTATGGCTCTGTCCTATCTGAGTCTCTATACAAAATAGAGGTGGGGGTGTACAGATCCTCTTATCCTCTCTCTGATGTGGGCTGCTGAGTAATGGCCATACATCCCTCAGTGCTCCTCTTCTGCTGCACATCTGACTGGATTAAGTATGTGCAGAGGATTTATTGGCTGAAAACCACTAGAGCTCCACCAACACTGTGGCCCCACACCACAGTCCAGGGAAGCACACAAATTCTTCTGCAACCCCCCTGGCTCCCCTATATCTGTTCCCCCCTCACCAATTCAAACTATTTATCTTCACTTTTTTTTCATACATCTCTCTCCCTCTTATTCTGGCTCTACAGCTTTCCAGATATTTTTGAATGTTTTACTTTATTATATGATCTGTTACAGAAGTAATCCCAGGATCACGGATGTTCCAGACTTTGGGAGGGGATGACAGGTTTTTTTCCACTCACACCCTGTCTGCAGTTGGTAGGGAAGCATTAATAATTCATGACCCACATGTGTTTGTGAGAGGCAGCAAGGGCCTTCACTTAACTGCCACAATTATCAGCATTTTAGTCAGAGAATTTGATTCATTATCATGCAATTGCAGCTAAAACAAATTCAGTTTGAGTTCGGATTGTGGTTCTAAAGTTGATTCATTGACATGTGACCATGCAATGCTGTAGGGAATATTTGCGGATTCAAATCCTGACTTGGTCAAATTCACCAACTGTAGTATCAATATTTTACATCACACCACTAACTAATCAAATATTTGCTTTTTTCATATTTTGTTCTGAGAGACTCGTGTTCTCATTATGTGTGTGAATTTTAAAGCAGAGAAAGTAAAAGTAAATCATTTCTTATTTCAGCTACATACATGCAAAAAACTGGAGGTCACATTTAACATGACTGCTACACCTAGTTGTGTGCACAGGTGATGCAGATTACTGTTAAGCGGAGCACTTTCAGGCTATGAACATACAGATGTTCAAACATAACAAACTGTATGTCACCTTGTTTCCATGTTTAGGTTTCCTTTTTGGTTCTTTAGCTCCATCAGGAAATGAACTGATATCATATGAGAGTAATCTTGTGATACATGTTGTAGCTTGTTAGATAATTTATCATCATCATATTTAAATGGAGGTTCAGAAAATAAATTCTCCCTTACAAATAACACTGTAACACCTTTCACTGTTTACGTTGAAAGGATTTTATTTACATGTACACCATGAGCAACATGATAAATAAAGTGAGCTTTTAAGCCTATCCATGGATCACAGTAGAAAAATACAAAGAAAGGAGTCAATAAATTACACTTCATAAAACCAATTCCTCTTAGTTCTTTCATTTGCGTTACCTGATAAAACATAAAACATTTGAGCCTTAAACAACAGCAAAAAAGATCATTAGCAACTCCATGGAAAGATCAGTTGGAAATGAAAACCTCTTTGAGCTCATTCTCTTTAGATGAATAAGAAGTTTTTCATTCATATATTCCTCCTGTTTTCATGTTACGTTTACACTCACACAAAGAAGAAAAGCTCAAGCTTATTTACGCTGATGTTGTTGGACGGTCAGTTTTTGCCTGAAGGTAGTGTGTGATTGAGAAAAGTAGTGGAAAAGTCAATTCTG